AAAAAAAACAACAAACCAAACCGAAAAAATAAAACGAGAGGGTAGAGAACGGCTTTGAGTGTTGGCGAGGCTTTTAGACACCTGACTGGGGGAAAAAAAAAAAAAGTGTCTGTTCCTTCTGCAACGTTGCTCCGAGACATAAATTTGCCATGGTTCGTGGTGAAACGCTCCTTTCAGGTCGCAGGCGCTGGCTGGGGCTGGCACCGGCTCCTGCCGCCCCCGACACTAACCCAGAGCCTTTTAACATTATTTTTTTGTGGTGGCGAGGGAGAGTAACTTTTTTTTTTTTTGAGGACGGAAATATGAAAAGCGGCGAGAAACCCGTAGAAAATTCACCTCGTTCACAGGGTTGTAATAAAACAGGGAGATCCCTTTTGCTGCTTTATTGCCGTGCTTAGCACCCGCAAAGATGCTGCTGTGCCTGCAGTTGCCTGACCTCCTTCTTTGGGAGCAGATCCTGCAACGGCATCAACAAAAAACCCAAGAAATCTCCCTCTTTGGCATCCCGCCGGCGTTCCATCCTCACGGCGAATTCGTGGGGGTTATTTTTTTGGGTTGTTTTCGGGAGAAAAGGGATTTTTATTTAGGGAGGCGGCTGGACGCGCGCACGTCCCGCGCACTGTGGGGCTGATGGCAGCCGCGGGCTCTGCTCTCTCGCCCACCCAGACCATCCTGAACTCCATGCACAAGTACCAGCCCAGGTTCCACATAGTCCGGGCCAACGACATCCTCAAGCTGCCCTACAGCACCTTCCGCACCTACGTGTTCCCCGAGACCGACTTCATCGCCGTCACTGCCTACCAGAACGACAAGGTATGGCCGGGCAGCCCCTGCCCTGTCCCTGTGCCCTGTCCCTACCCCTGCTCTCACCCCTGTTCCAACCCTCACCCCTTCATTAGGGTGTATTTACGTACATGCGTGTGCGTGAGGATATTTCAGGGCAGAGTGGCCAAAAAGCAGTAATAGGAGAAAGGTTAAACCCCAAGCCCTCAGAGCAGGGTGCACCCCCATACTTACTCCTATTATTATTGCTATTTTTAATACTAATACCAACGTCATCATCAGTATTTCAATTATTACTATTAATAATTTCCTCCTGGGGTTTGTTGTGTCTTTCTGGGCCGTGGGAGTCTTTGCTGCAGGCCCAGGCTGTGGAGAGCAGCACCAGGCCTGGGCAGCCTCACCGAGAAGGTGCCCTGGGCTCTGGAGGAGCCAAAAAATAGAGCCAGATAAGCTAATTTTAGTTGCTTTCGTGATTTAGCAAGTGTCACCCTGTGAGCAACCAGAGCCTGGAGAGCTCGGTGGGGAGCAGAGAGCCTCTGCCGTCTCCCTCCAAGAGTTGTGTGTACGTGTGTGTGTTTTAACCCAAAAGCTGACCCCCACCTCCACCCCTGGCTGCTGATGCTAATTGACAGCTCTGTCTGAGGGTCCTGGTGGGCTTGTTTCCCTCGTAAAGTTTATGGCGAAGAGTCACAATCGATTAAAGAGCACTTTGTCTGCTTGCCCGCCGCAAGCAGCGCGGGGCGGCCGCCGGGCCGTGGGCCCCGTCGGGCGGGGGATGCTCGGGCCGGGGGATGCTCGGGCCGGGGGTCGTGGCGGGGCCGGGCAGCCGGGCCTTTTGCAAAGCCCCCTCTCGGGGCCGTGTTTCAGAGCCATGCATTATTGAGCGCCCTGATGTCGCCGGGCCCCGGCAGCCCGTGGCGCGGGGAGGGATAAGAATAGCTTTTAACCAGCGGCCGCGCAGCTCAGTCGCCATCTTCCCTCCGGGGGGCCGTGAAAAATAACTTCCTATCATTAAGACGCCATTAATAATTCAAGCCCAAACCTCAGCATCATTTTTAATAAAGCATGCGGTGTGTTAACGCGGGGCCGCGGCGCGTTCCGCAGCCTGCGCCGCCCGCCCCGCGCTCCCCGACGGCGGCAGGGACGGGGAGGGGGCGGCCGGGGCTTCACGTCACCTCCTCTGTCCTTGTCCCCCTCCACAGATCACCCAGCTGAAAATCGATAACAACCCCTTCGCCAAGGGCTTTCGGGACACGGGCAATGGCCGGCGGGAGAAGAGGTAAGGGGTGTTCCCGTCCCCCCCGTGGCTTCGCGCCCGCCTGCGGGGGGACGGGCAGTGCCCGACGCTGCCTCTCGCCCGTAGGAAGCAGCTCTCGCTGCCGTCCCTGCGGATGTACGAGGAGCCCTGCAAGCCCGATCGCGACGGCGGGGAGTCGGACGCCTCCTCCTGCGAGCCCTCGGCCGTGCGCGACGCCCTCCACTCGCCCGTGGGTGCCCTCCCCAGCCCCCTGCGCCTCAAGGGCAGCGGCAGAGGTAACGGAGGAGTCTCGGTCCCCAGACAACCCCAAACGTCCTCAGACATCGGGGTTCTGCTCCCTCGGGGCTGCTGTGTGCTGATTTCTTGGGGGCAGTGAGGCAAAACACCAAGGAGAATAAAGATGGGGATGCGCAGGGAGGAAAAGACAAGAACTGAGCAAACTCAAATGGCATTCACGAGTTGCAACGTTTTTTCTCTTTATATATTTTAACTTGACTATATATTGCATCTTCTATACAGTTTATATCTTGTATTTATATTATACAAGGAGAAATGGCAAGGCAGACCGTGCGCTCTCCATATTAGCCTGGCTCCTTACTGGTGTGTGCCCTGCCTTCCATGGGAAGCTCACATTCCCTAAAAAAAAAAAAAAAAAAAAAAAAAAAGAAGAAAAAATTTTAAGAAAAAAGAATTCATTTGAAAGGAGAAAAAAAGGTTGTAACTCCAGGGCTGCAAGCTGGTGAACGAAAATAAACCAGCGGCTTCACGTAGCAGTTTTTCGATG